TGAGGGGATGTCGGGCTGAAGTGATAAACTGCTAATGCTGATTATACTTGCTGGGGATGAAGGGCAAGTTTTCTTCTTTTATCTTAGAAGAGATAAAAAAAGAAAAAGTGCCCTTTATCCCCAGCAAGCATAATCAGCATTAGCAGTTTATCACATCTCTTTTCTGTACTTTCATTTTTAATAAAATAAAATAAAATATATTCCTGTAATATCCAGTTGTATTTGTTTTTATCCATATAATATAATCTTCAATAAAGTTATTGGGAAAAAAAGACTTACATATATTTTTCCTTCTGTCATGTTAGAAAAAAAAATTTTTTTTAAGGTTTTTGAGGGATACTCTAAAGCCCTTAGGGACACTTGTAGTTCTGAAGCTTGTGACGGTCACCTCTGCAAAAAGTCTTCATGGTGTCCTGCGGAAAGGAATTTGCCTGAAGACTGTCCACTATTACGGGACTTCTTCCTGAGAAACCTGTAATGCATTTCCAAGGTGTGTCTTATGAGAAAGTGTAGACGAGAGGAATGAGGAAATTGTTGAATCCTAATTCATCATAGAATCTTAGGCTACAATTTTCAGACTTTCCTCAGAGACATCAGCTGAATGCTTTCCTTTTATGGCCCAATTAAATCAATTAATTAATCACCATCACCATTATCTCTTTCTCCTTCTTCACAGAAATGCAGGTGGCCTCTGTTAACAAGCACTCATTCAGTGACCATTTGAACTTGCAATAGCACTGAACAAGGGATACTTACAAGAGGTCCTCAAAGTTCCAGCCATCTTGGTGTCTCCACAGTTATGCAATCATGATCCGTGATGGCGAACCTATGGCATGCATGCCAGAGGTGGCATGCAGAGCCCTCCCTGTGGGCAAGAGCGCCATCGCCAGCTGTTCTTTTGGTTTCCAGTGTGCACATGTGCACTGCCCAGATGATCTTTGCATGTGCCGGAGCCCCGGAAACTCAAAGACCAGGCTGGCCCATGCGTATGCACAGGCTAGAAACCAGAAGACCAGGTGGTCTTTGAGTTTCTGGGGCTCTGGCACGTGCTCACACACGTTCCGGTTTGGGCACTTGGTGCTGAAAAGGTTCGCCATCACTGATCTAGGTGCTTTGTGCACAGCTCACAATTATGACATTGCAGCATCCCACAGACATATGGTTAACATTTGCAACCTTTTTTTGCTTACTAACTACAAGGAAAGTCAGTGGGGAAGAGGGCAGGAGTTCATAAATGGTGACCACATGATGTCCTTGCTTAATGACCACCCAGGATTCACTTAACAATGAAAACCAGAACTGCCAACACTAAGCAGTGTGGTCATGTGACATTATACTTTAAATGTCACTTATCAACAGAAATTCTGGTCCCAATTGCCATAGCTATCCAAGGACTACCTGTATTTAATATTCTTTTCCTGCCAATTGTGTGATTGTCCACCCATCCTCCTTTATTTTCTTCATCCTCTCTCATAATCGTGGTGGTGGTAGGACAAGACCGTAGAGCAAAGCTCCTTGTCACAGAAGTTCACACTTACCAAAGAGTTTAACCAGCTCCGTCAAAAGATTTTGCCACCAGTGAAGCTCCCTTTGCAGCAAAGCATAACACATGTTGGGTCTTTTAGTTAGTTGCTATATTTACAAAGATCTGCAGCAACTTTCCACATGTCTGCCAACCTCAATGTTTGTCTTAGCTATGGCTATTACTGGTGCAGAGAAATGTCCTGTTTTCTTCTGTCTACTGTTAATAAGTTGCCAGGTGTCCACTATTTGAGCGGACAGTCCGCTTTTTTCACATTATGTTCACTATTTTTTTTCACAAAATAATGAACATTTTTTTTATTCAAAAGCTTTATGATGAAATGGTACGTAAGTTTTGCAAATCAGAATTCCATGAAGTTTTGCGCCATGTTCCAACATGTTGGTTAAGTTTGTTTAAAGCAGTCGAAAGACTTCTTTTAAACTGGCTACCTCTAAAATCGTATTTTATTTCTCTTGGATCTGATGAGTGCCATAAGGTTATCTGGAACCTTATTTCGGATCAGGAAAATGAACTCGCAAAGGACGATGAACCAACAATTTCAGAATTGTATTTATATTTCACGCACTTCTTCATGTCAGTAATGCAAGACACCCTACTGAAGCTGGAAAGCAAGAAAATTCTTGCATGTGATCTTCACATTATCATGTGTAAGCTGGGTGATTCTTTGCAAAAAAAATACGATGAGCAGAATTTTGGAATGAAAGTTTTATTTGCCTTACGTAAAAAACATTTGCCTGAGAATGCCGTGCAAAAGTTCAAGAAAGAAGCCATCATCAATGTGTATCAAAGAGCCATTGCGTGCCTAGAAAAGTGGTATAATTTCACTGATTCAGTATATGAGACGCTAAGTTGTTTCAATCTAATTGATCGCAATAATCCTCCAACTTTAGAAGAAATGATGAACATCTGGTTATTATCACCATGGCGAGAAGAACTTCCACTCAACACTCTCTTCGATGAAATTTCTGCCTTAGAAGAAGTTTATGTTCATCTGCAGGGCGATTCATCCCTTGATAAGTGGACATACTTTTTCAAGAAAGAGCCAGCTCCGAGTTTACTGAAACTGTTCCAGTATTGTGCATCAATTCTGGTATCAAATGCAAATGTTGAATGAATTTTCAGCGTCATGGGAAATTTGTGGACTGACGAATGTAACCGACTGCTTTACCATCAGTTCGAAATGAACTTTGTATATTTTTTAATATTTCTCAATGTTGTACTGAAATTAAAGAATTATTCCTTAAACACAAAGAATTGATCAAAGCTGCGCAGTCAAATAAAAAATACACATGACAGCAAAGTAAAATGTAATTTAATATTTTACATATTATTATAATATATTTGATATTTTGAATTTTAAGTAAAGTTTTGAAGTGATTATTTTAATACGTGTTAAAATGTTTGTAAGAAAATATATAATTTAATTGTAATTTTTTAATTTTTTTACTACTTAACACCCCCCCCCCCCCGCACTTGTCCGCTATTTCTCAGGTTCACAGGGATCTCAGCCTACCACCTAAGACTGAATTTTCAGTCTTCATTTCAGCTTCCTGTCAAAAAGAGGAAGGCCTTTTCTCTGTGTTGCAGGAGACAGAACTGCCAAGGGTCAACTCCGTGATCTGGGACATTATTTGCCTAATGGTGGTTGAAGTTACCACAGTAACCAAAACATCAACTTGCACCTTTGCTTCTGATAACAAGTTTAGCCTGAAACTTCCCAAGGCAAATTCTTATCTGTTCTTTCTTTTCCCTCCCTCTCTGAATAACTCTTAACTCATACTAAAGAAATGAATTGCTCCCAAATTCCATTTAAACAGAATTTGAAATGCAAACATGAGCCACCAAAGGTTGGGGTCTTTGTTGAGATGTCAGGAAAAAAATGGCCTTTAAAACTCCTTGAATGGCCAAAAAAACCAAAAACCCCACACAGGAAGTTCCCCTCACAGAAATAAACATTAATCCTTTATAACCAGAATGTACACAATGAAGCTGCTGTGAAAAGGGCCAGGGGCTAGTTCTAAAACCTCAGCAATTCTTTCAATTTAATTTGAAGGACAGTAAAACAAGGAGATCTTACAAAATGTCTTTTTGGTTACCCCCATGAGATTTGTAAGGTGCTTCCAGCCAGTTCCTGAAGAAATACATCCTGAGTTTTCCTCATAAGGTTTAATTCCCATACTCACAATCCAGTAGATGAAAAGAAAACTGAACCTAGTGACTAGGTTTCCGCATTATATTAAGCCACAATGTCCTTGTTTGGCTGTGGCTTAATGTGCGTGAACCCAACCATTGCTTATGGATAAGAGTATGAATCTAGCCATTGTGGCTTAGTTGAACAAACCATGGTTAAAATATATCCAGCCAATCCATTCATATTTATGGTTATCAGAATATAGTCTACAATTCCTTTCTTCTCTAACAGTCTACTTTGAATCTGTAGAGACAATACAGGGATCTAGGATTATGAAGAAAATCTCTTCTAGATTAAATGTCCAGGAAGAAGGTTTGGTTGCAGTTGCACCAAAATAGCTAACCTGCTGCTTTGGTCAATATAAACCACACATATGTTTGCTGTGCTGTTTACTCAGCAAACATATATTGCATTAAATCTTGCTCTGTTGCTGTATCGGAGTATCTAAAAACTTTTCGGGTCTAGGTGGTAGCAAGCCTCAATGAAATGACCCATGATTACCTCCCTTCAGTAAGGGGGAACAAAATCCCACTGATTGGAGCATAAAAACACAAAAGGAGGAAGCAAAATATAAATTATTAATCATGGCAATGATAACAATTGAAGTACTAAGCTATATATTCCTTTGATGCAGATATTACATTACCAATAATCCAATGCTACACAGCCCAGATTTCTGTGTTCTGTGTATCCTGGACGTGGCTGGAAACTGTTAAACATTCAGCCTATTTGGGAGGATATCAACCTAGGGTAGATTTTTGATTATTGGATCTTTTTTAATGTATCTTTTATACAACACCCCCCGCCCCCCGAAACAGCATATTTGAGTGAAGACCCTGATTAAAGATGCTGGATTTGCACCATTCAACAGGTTTTTCTTCCCTTTTGAGCTCATTATTCTTGGTTTATCTTCCCCGACATTTCTTTTATTAACATAAAACCGTGCCTTATTACAACTTCTCCCTGATCCCTGTGTATTTTCTGATAGTCTTTACTCACAGGGCAGGAATAAAAGACTGTGAGACTTTAACTTTATTCTGCTTGGGGCCAAGCTATCCAGGTAGGTGGACAATAGCTGCTAAGAAAAGGGCAAGGTGTAAGGGAGTGGAGCTGATAGCGTTTTCCCCAGCTGCCTTTCTTCTCCACTGAGCTCAGCAGGTTGAAGGCAGTGGGCCGGCAGCCAGACACACCCAATTCTTCCAGGCAGTAAAATGATCCTTTCTCTGCCCCCAAGCCAAGCCCAGCTCTTTCTAATAGATAAAAAGGAAAGGAAGTGCCAGCCTGCAGGTTCAGAGGGACTCTTTCTTTTTAAACTCCCCTGAGTCTACACCTTGCTGTTCTTCCCCTCCTCATCTGTAGCTGCCAGATATAAACCTCCCTGCTCGAGCAATCATGTCGCAGCTGACTTCGTTCAGTTCTCGTTCAGCAACTGCCCCTTCTAATTTTTCCCAGGTCCGGATCAGCTCTGTTTCTTCATCCCGTGGAATCAGAGGAGGTGGAAGCTTTAGGAAGCCCGGTGGCTTTGGTAGCGCCAGTTTGTATAATCTGGGCAGCAAGAGGATTTCCCCATCCTACCCTGTCTCACCTTCGTCTGGATATGGCGGTGGTATTCAAGAGGTCACTATTAATACAAATCTATTGTCCCCACTCAACCTGGAAATTGACCCCGCCATCCAGAAGGTACGCAAGGAGGAGAAGGAGCAGATCAAGGTCCTCAACAACAAATTTGCAACCTTCATTGACAAGGTGAGATATGGGCCTTTTTGTGATATCAAGAACTTTCTATAGGCCTTAGTAGTGGGTTGCAACTGTACTCATAATGTTGGGATGTTTCGTTGTTGTTTTTTTTCTACAAAGCTAAGGATTCCTTCAGGCTGACTATTTAAGCTGCATTCAAGGAGATGCTTGATTTTCACTCAGATAACTTGGATTTAAACTGTGATGGCTCAGTGACTCTATATTTACCACATGATTGTTCTTAATAATCCCTTGATTAAGACTGGGTATGGCAGGATAACAGGCTTTTGAACTGATCTGTAAAAGACTGTACATCTTCACAATATGGATATGCCTCACTTTGTTCTCCCATGATGTCAAGGATGGAGGCTGATACATTATACACACAGGGGAAAAAGGAAGGAGAGATCCCCCAAAATTCAAAATTATTCAGGGAGTCATACACATAGCTATGAGTGCACACATCTGAAATAATTAGTAATTACACTTGATATGTTCTGGAACATTTTTGCTTGGCTCTTAAGTGGCCAAAATGTCTTGTTTTTTACATTTGTGAACCCACTGTTGCAATGTTTTTGAGTTAATGCAGTTCTTGAGAAAGGGGAAAAAATGTATGGATTCCGCCCCACGGTGATTTTATGTCTATATATACCCTTCCTCACCTTTTAATGTCTTCTGCATTTTGTCGGCTTGCTCCTGGGAGTAGCTGCAGTGAATTCTATAGGGTTTGCTTCTGAGTAATCATGCTTAGGAGCATAATGTTAGATATCTACACAGAGATATCCCATAAGTATTCATTATAAGCCATCTATATACTGTGTTGCCATTTGTGAGATTGACAATGGTAGCAATAAAGGAGAATATTTGTAGCTCAGGGTTGAAATGAGGAGTCCTTAGTGTCTCTCTGAGCTTGGCAATGGGCATGTACAACTGCAACATAACCATAGTCATGCTTGTCATTTGCGACCTTTGTCAGCAAAGTCAATGGGGAAAGCCAGATATGCTTAACGACTGCATGATTCCCTTACCAACCATGGTAAAACAGGTCATAAAATAGGGCATGGCTTACTTATTAACCCTTTTGCTTAGCAATGGAAATTCTAGTCCGTTTTGGTTGTAAGTTAACATGTCTCCTGAAATGTTATATCCCCCCCCCATTAATGTAATTGATTCATTTAAACGTTAGAGAACAATGTGCAGTGTACGAATGAATCTCTGCTTAGCTGTAAAACTGACCAGGAAGTTTCTTTGTTGGAAACCGAAGTCTGTAACCTCCCCCACCTCTTAAACTGATAAAGAGAAAATGCAGTACATTCCTAGAGCTCTTAAACTGTTCGGCCACGCAAAAGCTAAATAAATATCAGAAGTTCAAAAAAGCTTGCAAAACGTGTAACTAAATTCAGACATGTGTTTCACGTTGACCCATGGCTAAAAGGCTGGCTTTAGAACCAATTGGCTAAAACAAAGATTTATCCATTGAGGGTTATTTTTTTTTTGTTCCTTTTGTTCCTTCTTTGCAGCTTCCCTCCCTCTGTCCTTCCCTATCTACTTACTATTGCCAGATAATTCATTCTTTGACCCTCTTTTCTGTATCTGAGCGTTATTCAAGCTGGTCATTTTCTATCTGATTTTGTGGCATGTTCACATTGTCCTGGAAAAACAGCTGTTCTTTAAAATGTGCTTGTGGGTATTTCTCAGGTCCGGTTCCTTGAGCAACAGAATAAAATTTTGGAGACCAAGTGGAGCCTCTTGCAGCAGCAAAAGACCAGTACGCGGAGCAACCTTGCATCCATCTTTGAGGCCTACATTAACAACCTGCGGAGACAGCTAGACAGCTTGCACAATGACAAGGGACGGCTGGAAGGAGAACTGAAGAACATGCAGGATCTTGTTGAGGATTTTAAGAACAAGTAATGTATTCATAACGGTTTTTGTCGAGTCAGGGAGGCTTCAGGTGCCTCTGTGCAAAGCATCCCAGGTTTTCCTTTAGTGGGAACAGTATCTAGAAGAGAATTTGGGTCTAAAAAGTGTGTGGGCTTATTTTTGGGGGTGGGGTTGGCGATAGAAGTTCATTGCAAATTCCAGTTGGCCCTATAACCAACGTGTATTGAATTGCAAATAAGCAATATGAACTCATGGATGGATGAATCCCTAGTATAGGTCTCCTGCAGGAGCAGGGGGTTGGACTAGATGACCTCTAAGGTACCTTCCAACTCTGTTACTGTTACTTGTTACCTGAAATAAGCCCTGGAGAGGTTAGCACAGAGGCATCTTCTTCATTCTTCTATACTTGTATCAAAGGAATATTAATATTGTTCAGAGAAGGATGAGAAACGAGTGTTTGGATTACTCACATTATATTGCTATTTCCTTGTAAACGGAATAGCCTTAATCTGACAAGATGATTTTTTTTTTTAATCATTGAAAGAAATAAGATTGAATTGTTCATACAACACATATTTATCTTGTGAACTGTTTAATCTTCTGTGCAAAATATATGAAGCAGATGCAGAAAGGCAAGCCATTCTGTTCATGGTAGTGACTAGTGAAAAAAAAAAGTGTCATGTATTTATAATTGCTTTGACTGTTTTTTTATCTAACCATAGCAACAATAACTTCTAAAGTACAGAGTACTAGATATTAAAGCTATGTGTGATTCCTAAATTACTTGGGAGCAATTTATACAATCCCAGACCATCTCTGTTATTCATTAAAGCAGTTTGGTTGGGTGAGGCTGTGCTGATTCAATATTGGTGAGAGACCACAAGGAAGGTAATTACTGTAGAATCTGCAGTACAGTTGAGTTCAGAAACATATGAAATGTAATAGTTGCAAGGACCAAGAATATTAGCAATGTAGAATTATGTGAACTATAGATACTGAATGATATGCACTTCTTGGCTGCTTTCCATCAATAGCTGAAAATTTATTTTAATTTAATTTAATTTAATTTAATTTAATTTAATTTAATTTAATTGCCTTGGTAGTACAGTGGTCTAAAGCACCCTGTTATTAACACAGCTGCCTGCAATTACTGCAGGTTCGAATCTTACCAGGCTCAAGGTTGACTCAGCCTTCCATCCTTTCTAAGGTAGGTAAATTGAGGACCCAGTTTGTGGGGGCAATAAGCTGACTTTGTATAAATATACAAAAGTATGAAGGCTATTGCTTAACGCATTGTAAGCCGCCCTGAGTCTCCGGAGAAGGACGGCATATAAATCAAATTTTAAAAAAAATTAATTTAATTTAATTTAATTTAATTAATTAAATTTATATGCCACCCCTCTCCGAAGACTCAGGGCGGTTCACAATACATTTTCAAAAATAATTATAAAAAAACATTGAAAAATTAAAAACATTAAAAAGATTAAAAACTCATTCATGCCATTCATGGCCGGATCTCGCCAGATCACAAGAGCGAGATCAACGGCCCCAGGCCTGCCGGAAAAGCCAGGTCTTCACCGCTTTTCAGAAGGCCAATAGGGTGGGGATGGTCCGGACCTCAGGAGGCAACTGGTTCCAGAGAATGGGCAGCCACAGAGAAGGCCCTCCCCCCGTGGGCCCACCAGCCAGCATTGTTTAGCTGATGGGACCTGGAAGAGACCTACTCTGTGGGATCTTACCGGTCGCTGGGAGCTACGCAGCAGAAGGCGGTCTCGAAAATAGCAGTTGAAGAGAAATTAGGGGTCAATCATATAACGCCTAGGATCCAAACATAGGCCCTGTTAGTAAAATAAATAAAACAAAACACAAAATTTGAGAACATTCGGCCAACATTCCCATAACATGCAAGATTCAAGTAGTCTAAAGAGTTTCAGTCCAGAGAAATTTAGATGAAGCATTTCTGCTTATTGGATTGTCAGTGCTTAGGCTCAAACCACTGGACAGTTTCTTGGCCTTAATGTTCATGTCGCAATATAGATTCTTCCTGTAAAGGTGAAAGGATGAATAACCAAAAGGATTAGTGTAGGGAATTTAGAACAGCTTGACCTGTTAAACTGGAAAGAGGATGGTAGGGATACAACATATGGAGTGGCATATAGCTATAAAAATTACTCAAGGTTAAGAAGGTTAAACATTGTCAGACAGGTTTTTTTTAAAGGCTCAAGCTATTTAGAAATGACATAGTCCTAGTACAGCTGTATTAAAGCTGCGTGCGACAGAAATGTTGGTTGTTACATTAGGTTAAAATGTACTAGAATAGTTGTGGCTGAGTATGACCTACACATAGCCATTAAGATCTCCAGCCTGTTTAACCTACTAATTCTGAACTCTTTAAGACTGGCTGAGTCTGGCCAAAATGGAATCTAAGTATGACACAGCCCTTTTTGCAAAATACCATTTGCTGATTTGCAAAAGGGGAAAAAAAACCCTCATTTAAATCATTCAGGAGACAGCATTAAAACGCTTCTGCCTGATGCTTACACATCTCATACAAGGGGCTTTCCAGCAGGTGTGCAGATAACTGTGTAATGGCTTAAAAGGTTCACTTGCAAAAAATTCCTCAGATATACAGTTTCTGGAGGTGCAGAAATGTGGGTGTTGAACAATTAGTTTCATCCGCCTGAACTCTGCATGTGTACTTTATGGGCAGAGACAGAGAATGCTTTGTCTACTTTTCTACCACATATCCTTGATTTAATGGTGTGAATTGTCCTGGAGCTGTTTTCTGTGTGGCGTTCTGTATTTTGGAATGGAAAATTGCTAGAATCCGAAGGAGTTGTCATATAGTTAAAGCACAGTATTAGCCTAGATAGCTGGGTCACCCTATTTTAGCTTACGCATTGTTTACAAATCTGATGCAATCTTAAACCAAGATTGAATAAAGTAACAAATAAAGCCACTATTGCAAAGCAACTCTTATAATGATAAATATCCTTATAATTTGATCCATGACTATCCAAGTTATATTAATATACATATATTCTACAGTAATCATACTGCTGTGGTGTACTTTTTATATATAGCAATATTTTACAACCCTGTTTGTGACATTAGCAGATAGTTTATATTAAAGTCCCATGAGCCTAGGAAAATGTTTAAGGGAAAAACCAACCGTCTTGATTCAGGTGCAGTATGGAACAATTCATTCAATAGATTCTTCATTGGTTCTACTTGGGCATAATTCTTTTAATATTGGGGTTTTATTAACGCTGCCCTCAAAAAGTGCTGATAGTAAGGCATTAAAACAGGCTTTAGAAAAGGCCCACCACCAATACTTAGAATATGAAAGTGAGAACAAATATGGAGGTGACAGTGGGGAGGGAGCCACTGTGTTCTCTGAAGGAGTGATATATTCTTATAATTTGGCTCAACACAATATCTTATTGTGTGATGACAACCTTAACTATCTCTACCCTCAGTAACAGACACTGCAGGTAACACTGCATGTGCAAAATTTATTTGTAATATTCCATCACCTGCTAGTTTTATGTATGGTTGTCCCTTAAAATTAATGGCACCTGTAAATTATGGCTTAGTCAGGCAAATATTATTTGCAAACTCTACCTTCAGTTCTGAGGAGTCCAGCCTCTAATCTCATGACCACATTAAGGAAAAATCTAGGGAACTGAGAAGGAATTTCTTAAAAAAAAATTCTTATTTCTTTCACAAAGTATGAATGACAGCCTACCTCTGCCTCATATAGTGGTGGAAAAGTGATTTGGCTGTGAAAAGTTTAAGATCGAACCAATATTAAGAGGGATCCCTGGCTTAAATAGAATCTCAGAAGAGCCCCTGGATTCCTTTGCGTTACAGAAAAGACATAGTTGGATTGAATTTTACTACTTCATGAAGTTTGGATACTACTCTTAAAACATTGATGCTTTCAACTTGTTTGATGGCTTGATTGTTTATGAGCCTTTTACTTAGCTTAGAAAATGTGTATACCGATAGTTATCTTTAAAGTCAAAATACTTTCTAAAGAATTCAGGGCAGGGTGCACAGCTCAAACACAAATCCTTGTTTTGTTTTGTCTTCTCAATGTCCCTGTGAGGTAGATTTCACTGAGAGCAACCCAATGAATGATTTAAGAAATTGTATGGATGATGGAGGATTTTGAGTGAGATTTTTCTCAGTCTGTGTCCCATACTTCAACTATATATTCAACTATATGCACGATTATGCTGATATGGCAGACCTTGAACTTAGGACTTGCTATCTCATCTGTGTAATTTAAGGGTATAGTAAATTATAGTCTAACTCTTCCACATTAGGAGCCATTTTAAGTGGACGTATTAGAAATCCCTCCCCTCCACGAAGTTTCTGGATTAGCTTCTCATGCAATCAGTTCATACAAAGAGCATGCCAGCAAGTGAAAGGTCATTTTCCCCCTCCTATCTGTTGAAAAAGGGAGGTGGAGGAAGGACCTACACTACTTTATCTGCTGATAGCTCTGCATTTTACCACAAAGCACATCCGCTGTTATTCACAAAGCTCCTGTGGAGACAAAGGAACAAATGGCGCTGGACTTGTGTGAAAAGCCTCTTGCTGAACTTGTGTAAAAAGGCTCTTTGCTTCTTACAAATGTCCAAGAGAAACGGACTCCTCGCCTATTTTGCCCCACCCGGCCACACCTGTTATGTTTAAGAAATGAAAAGTTGGCACACGAGTTCCAATAAGAATGGAGAGCAAACAAAACTGATAAAACACCTGAGGGTGTGTCTCTGTGGAGGAGAAAGTCAATAACTTATTAATGTTTTGCCAAAGCATACAAGTTACAATACGGATGTCTGGAGAAAGGGAGGAGCAGTCTGAGGATAGGCCTTAACTAGGCTTTTTATACGATCAAGGGGCACCAACCCCTTACATAGCAGGGATAGTTCTGTGTGTGAGACACCAATTGTGCCATAAGCAGCTTAAAAAGGTCTTTGCTTTTATGAACTCCTGGAATTTGTGAGTGGGTCTCTTAGAGCAGGGGTCTCCAACCTTGGCAACTTTTAAGTTCTGTGGACTTCAACTCCCAGATTTCTTCAGCCAGCATCTGCTTTAAATTACAATCCCCACAATTTTTTGCAATAGGAAAGAGCCATGGCAGTTGTTAAGTTTTAGGAGTTTTAGGTTCTTCCAGAAAGGAAGAAATTTGCAGATTTTGAGAGGTCATCATGCACAACAGGAGAGGAAGAAAAATAATTTTATGCTTTCTTTGTTCATCAAGTTAGGTTTGTCCGTTCTAGCCGAAAACAACCCAGGAGATAATTCTACCCTTTCCTCGTTTAATGTAGACATGGGTCATGCTTGGCAGAACCCAGTCTGAGAAAAGATAGACAGGATTTTTAAAAGAAAAAAATGTTTAATGATGGATTGAGGTTTGTGTAATATAAGCACCTGTGCAGGTGCACGCACAAAGCCCTTCTTCCTCCTGGTAGAAAAGAGGCAAAAAGGAAATTGGAAATGAAATGAAGAAAAGAGGAGCTATATTGGGCAGGAAGAGAAAAAGGAACAAACGGAGCTCCAGCTGTAACTATTCCCTATTGTGGAGGATCAGTTGGCCGAATCAATAAACCTGGAAAAGACCAGGTTGTAATTCTCAAAAGTCCATTTGTCTTACAAACTCATTTTGTGACTTTGAAAAACTTCCTGGCTTGGGCTGAAATGGTCATTTCAGTTTACAGCACTTTATATTTGCAGAAACTGGCACCCGACCTACGATTACAACTTTTGACCAAGCTTGATTTGCACATTTCCAAAAGGGAGAGCAGAAGAAGGCATATAGTACAATACACTGAAATACAATCTATGTTAATCTAAGAAGGACAAGTGACCCCTTATGCACTGTTGCGCAGGGGAGAGAGAGAGAGAGAGAAAGAGAAAGAGAGAGAAAGAGAGAGACACACACACAGAGAGAGAGAGACAGAGAGAGGAGAGAGAGACTGACACACAGAGAGAGACACGGAGAGAGAGAGAGACAGAGAGAGAAGGAGAGAGAGATAGACAGAGAGAGAGACAGAGAGAGAAGGAGAGAGAGATAGACACACAGAGAGAGAGACACACACAGAGAGAGAGACAGAGAGAGGAGAGAGAGACAGAGAGAGAGAGAGAGAGAGAGAGAGAGGAGAGAGAGAGAGACTGACACACAGAGAGAGACACTGAGAGAGAGAGAGAGAGAAGAGAGAGAAGGAGAAGAGAGAGAGAGACAGAGAGAGACAGAGAGAGACAGAGAGAGAGAGAGAGAGAGGAGAGAGACAGGACACAGAGAGAGACACAGAGAGGAGAGAGAGAGAGACAGAGAGAGAGAGAGAGAGAGAGAGAGAGAGAGAGAGAAAGAAGGAGAGAGAGAGACAGACAGAAAGACACACACACACACACACACACACACACACAGTGTTTTGTTTGTGTAATCTTCACACATTTAAATTGGTTCTCAGCAACTTTAGCTGCTACAACCAACACCAGAGGCGAAAATACTGAAATTATTAATCAATAAAATAATAAATTTATTAAAATAAAATTATAGAAAGTTGTCCTCTGTTTCATTGCCTTCAGGTGCACATAATTTTCCAAATATTATTATTTTTTAAAACTGCCCAACTTCTTCCTTTGAAGGGCATTTGACACACAGAGACAGTAAAGTGAAAAGGGAAAGACATTCCTATAATTTTGCCTTTGTGATTTGCTACAATATTGGCAAATGTAGTCTACTGATTGCCGGCTGCCTGCAATTTGGCAATTCGAATCTCACCAGGCTCAAGGTTGACTCAGCCTTCCATCCTTCCGAGGTCAGTAAAATGAGGACCCAGATTGTTGGGGGCAATAGGCTGACTGTGTAAACTGCTTAGAGAGGGCTGTAAAACACTGTGAAACGGTATATAAGTCTAAGGGCTATTGCTATTGAAATGGAGGTCTCTTCATAGCTCCAGGGCTGTTTTAAGTGTCATAACCATGATTATGCTCTTGGCTGTTGTAGGCCAAAATATATTTCAATGAAGGGTAACTGGTCAGACTTAACAATAGACATGTGTCCATTTTTTCTCTGTTTTTAGTAGGTGACTTCTTCTTATTTATTTTTTGTTTGTTTGTTTGAAAACTGATGGATAAGGAATCAGAGTTGTTGCCAACTGCACCCTGATTTCTGCCATTTCTTTTAACCCTACCTCAACAGAGTAGAGAATCTAATTTTCATAAAGGCAGAATTTTCAAGGCTATTTATTTGTTTGGCATTCTTTCTGCATTCCAAAGACTGTCTGGCTTGCAAGGATGCAACCTTCTTTGCAAAAGCACTGTATTCTCTTTTCCAAATTCACACATAGTTTTCAGAAACTAGATACTGTCTGTTTAAAGCATTCATTTGAGAATGGACATTCCAAGTATCTATTGCATATCCTGTTTGATAAGTGTATTTTATGCCTATTTTGTACAAGCTGGCAAATATTCAATAGGCCAGATAACAGCTTTCACCAGCTTAGTAGCCAATATCTACTAGATCATGAACTATTGGAACTGAAAACAGCATATCAGTATATCTTTATTTTATTGACAGTGCAGTTCTATTGGGAAAGATGGGAGTGTACATGCCGATAGCCCCAGGGTTAGTCTGTCTACTGTTACTTAGTTTACTTTATTGTCATTGCACCTTGTACAATGAAATTAAATGCCATCTTCAGTGTACATTATAATTATAAAAATAAAACACAAACATACATCCTTCACATTCTATACAATTGAATTGAAAACTTCTGATACTGCATCAATATTGCACTATATAGTAGAATTCAATATAATTACTGCTCTGGGACAGAAGCTGTTTTTCAGCCTATTTATCCTTGTTTTTATTATCCTGTACTGTCTGAACTTTCTTAAGGCATCAGGAGCTATAACGCTCTTAGGGAAGCTATAAATGATTAGGGGACTGGAGGCTAAAACATATGAAGAACGGTTGCAGGAACTGGGTATGTCTAGTTTAATGAAAAGAAGGACTAGGGGAGACATGATAGCAGTGTTCCAATATCTCAGGGGTTGCCACAAAGAAGAGGGAGTCAAACTATTCTTCAAAGCACCTGAGGGTAGAACAAGAAGCAATGGGTGGAAACTAAACAAGGAGAGAAGCAACTTAGAACTAAGGAGAAATTTCCTGACAGTTAGAACAATTAATCCGTGGAACAACTTGCCTGCAGAAGTTGTGAATGCTCCAACACTGGAAGTTTTTAAGAAGATGTTGGATAACCATTTGTCTGAAGTGGTGTAGGGTTTCCTGCCTGGGCAGGGGGTTGGACTAGAAGACCTCCAAGGTCCCTTCCAACTCTGTTATTCTATTTCTATTCTATTTCTATTTCTTCCAAAGAGGGGAGAGGGCAATGATCCTCTGAGCAATGATGTTAACCCTCTGGAGCACTTTCCTATCTGCCACTGCGCAATTGGCTAACCATATATAGGTGCAGTAAGTTAAAATACTCTCTATGGTGCAGCAGTAGAAGGTCACCAGCAGTTTTTCATTCAGTTGTTGTTTCCTGAGAAGTCTCAGGTCGTATAATCTCTGCTGGGCCCTTTTGACCAGTGCTGCAATGTGAGCACCCCAGGTCAGGTCCTCTTTTATGATAAAACCCATAAACATAAAACTGGCCACTTGCTCCACTCGGTCTCCATTGATAAACAAGGGCTGGATGTCTGATCAATTCCTTCTGTAGTCCACTATATGCTCCTTGGTCTTATTGGTGTTAAGGACCAAGTTATTGTTTCCACACCATGAAAGCAACCGATCCACCTCATCACGATAGGCAGATTTCCAGACATCCCTTGTCAGTCAGATGATGCTAGGCTACATGACTCAAGTGCTTTGGTATAAAGCAACATGCTTTCTGGTAATCATATATATTTGGGAATAAATCCTCTTCGGTACAACACAACTTAATCTTCAATAAGCAGGACATATCTAACCTTATTGTTCTAGATTTGAATGTCCAATTTGACTTCTCAAAATTGAAGGTTTAACATGAAGAATCCTGTTAAAAGATACATTTTCATTTTCTAAAATAGCAGGGTGAGGGAAAGAAACTTGTTGATTTCCCTAGGGTGAGATACATTTTCACTTTCTGTGATGAGTAACTCATGAGCCTATTTAAACCATCTGTCTCTTCCACATTCATCACAGGTATGAAGATGAAATCAACAGGCGCACCTCTGCAGAAAATGAATTTGTCGTGCTCAAGAAGGTAAGAGTCTATTAACCTAAATTTGCATGTTGTGCTATAGATGGCAGGGTTTTGGGTGTGACAGGATTTTACTAGTACAATTTCTGTAGCATTATATGCAGAATAACCCTAGAAATAGTATCTTTAAACAATTGGAATAGATCAAAGTAGAAATTTAATTTTACTTATTAAATTTATTAGCAGTACATTGGGATGTAAAATTTTATTTTAGTGATGATGTCCAAATCTCAAATGTCTTCAAATTTAATATTAATTATGGAAATGTGAATTTTTGGGTGGCATCTGTTCTTGTCCATACACACAAAAAATGATGGCATCACCACAAACTGCCAATGGAGAAAGGATCATCTATTTATTTTCAAAGAAAAGAGAAAACTATAAACATATAAAAATAAGTTGTTAGCCGAAAGAGTTACAGACATTTTTTAATGTCAGGTTTTTATTTCTGTGCAGGGATTATTTTCTCATGGGAAATATTAACTAGTACAACCTGTCATCTCCACTATAAAGTGGATATTCCATATAGAAGCTTTGAATGGAATAAAAACTGAATTTAATAAACATTCTGAAAAGAAAATTCTTGCAAACATTAACTCAACTTTTTATGAACCATGTAAATGATAGGAAGAGTAAAAAAATTGCATTTTAAAATCACTTAAACACATTGCTGCAACCACCGAAATCCTCAAAAGGATATCTTTCTTTTGCAAATTGGTTTCTTTCTTTCTTTCTTTCTTTCTTTCTTTCTTTCTTTCTTTCTTTCTTTCTTTCTTTCTTTCTTTCTTTCATTCATTCATTCATTCAGCTGTTGGATAGCCCTGATGCAAGAATAATAAATAAATGTAACACTTATTCCCCTATTATACAGTTACAGCACTAAAACCATGGTTTTATATTATGTAAAGAGGTGTTTTTCTTCTTTGTATACAAAGCAAACAAATGAGACGGAAGAGGAAAAGAATAAAGGATACACAGCAAGGATAGGTGACCTACCCAAGGTCAACTGAGTCATCACATGGAGAAGAAATTTAAGGACAGACTACATATTATCTGAAATGGAAGACTTGCAGCTACCTTCTTCCCCTTACATAGTTTATTATAGGAAAAGAAAACTTATTTCCAAGCTTAACAAAAATGACTGTGCCATGGGAGGAGAAGACAAGTGTAATTGCAACTAAAAGGATAAACTTCTTCTTCCCACTTGCAGTGGACTCAATTATAGCTGTGCCTTTAAATAATAATAATGTTTAAAAAGCCATAGTAGCCTGCTGCATAATCAGTATCATCTATAAGGAGCCCCTGCGGACTTTACTCTGCTAGTCATTGCCAATTATAGAAGGCGGTACTCATTTCTATTTCAAGGGCCATTGAGCAGTGATGTCTGAAGATGTTTCTGCAGTCATGTGGTCAGCATAATGTCACAGAGAGTTGTTACCTTCCCACTGAAGTGGTACCCATTTATTGACTTGCATTTGCATGCTTTCGAACTGCTAAGTTGGCAGGAGCTGGGACAAGTAACAGGAGCTCAACCTGTCACGTGATGCTGGGGTCTCGAGACTGGGCCATTGGCTTTCCAGCCAACAAGCTCAGTGTCTTAATCACTGAGCCATCGCGCCATCACAGTACCATGTGTACCTTGATGCTAAATCATTCTGACAATTTCATTTTAGGGCAGGGGCAAGGATGATTAAACCTAGCAACAAAGAGATGAGATTCTCCGTTACCAGGTTGTTGTTTTTTTTCTTTGCCCATGGTAGCAATCTCGTCCTTTCCTTCTTCTCCATTTCTCAAAAACATAAGTTGCTTTTCTTCTAATGGTTTCTTTTAGGATGTTGATGCTTCCTACATGAATAAGGTGGAGTTGGAAAGCAAAGTGGATGGGCTGACAGATGAAATAAACTTCCTGAGGGCGCTTTATGAAGCAGTAAGTAAACTTTACTGTCGTTTTCCCAAAATCTGGTACCATTCAGGTATGCTGGTTTACAATGCCCAGTCAACAAGATGCATATCTGGAAGATACAAGGCTAAGGAAGAATGTTTGTGCTATTGCTGTCTTTAGCTCAGGCACTGATCTCCTTACAGAGGACAAATTAAGTGATCCTTGTAAAGAATTTATTTAAATATTATATATTTAAATATATGACCTGTATATTTTATATTTTATATGATCTATATATTATATATGACCTGTTAGTTTGTCATTCTCAAAAGTTGGCATGGGAGGAGAGATTGAGCAAAGTTGTTTTACAAAGGGAGGGGAAGAATTAACAGAAATAAAGATTATTCATTAAAAGAAAATATATAACTTAGCAAATAATAATGATAAGCATTCGTGATGACAGTATTCAGCTTTAGCATCTCATACTGCCCAGTCAGTATCTAAAAAGGAAACATAAAAAAGAGGAAAATTAAATTCTCTCATAAATTTATTCAAGGAAAACTAAGGGAGGTCATTTTCTTCTAGTAGTAATTTAAAGATGCAGATGTAACAATTGTAATCAAAGAAAGCAAATTATGGTTCTCCATTACATTTGAGCCTTGAGAAGTATTATCTTCTCCATTGTTAAATATTGTCAAAAATATATTATCACTAATATTGATCCCAAATTATTTGATCCCTAATATAATCACTGTGTGGGTAAGTGAATTGATCTGCTAAATTTTTCATTGGAAATTTCTTTTCTCACTATTGAAGAAATTAGATTCAGACAGAATTCCAGTCTGCCCAGAATCCTATTTTTAACTGAGTTTGTATTACTTTGTAAGCCAAAATGTGGTTTGTTTAGTTTTGACATTTTTTTATCTTTTTAAATTTATTGGCTGCTAGACTCCAGCGGATTAATGTGATGTGTGCACCCAGACATTGTAACTTATTCAACAAACCACGATTAAGCAAATATTAGTCTAGTGCAACATGCAAAGTACACTTACAGCACCTTTTGGTTAGATTTAACTCCATCCTTTGACTGAATAGGCTGCATCTTTTATACTAAAATATGATTTTCAAGGAGAACTTTGCTTAAGCGAAGATTGGTTCTATATTCCAAAATTCCACTGAAAAATTCAGTTTCCCTATATAAAGAGGCTCAAAAATTAAATTCAAGCTTGACATGACATTGAATACAAAGCTGTTAGAAATTACAAGCACTGAAATTCTACTGATGTAATAATCTATATATTTATTTTTCATTGTTCTGACTCCCTTTTCTTCATAGTCTCTAGGCTATTTGTCAACCCTGTCACAATTTAATGTACAAATGGCTCTGTGGTGGAAACCTGAAACCCTTGCTAAACATATCAAGTTGCTTTTCTCACATGATTCTTTTGTGCAGTAGATGGATATCAAAGGAGTTTTACAAATCCGGCTATTTTAATGAGTTAATATTGGTTTTTCTGTATGTATATGGCACAATGAGCTGAGCTAAGAATTGGTCAACTTGCATGACCAGGAGAAAGTTGCTGCCACTTGTTCATTGATGCTATTGCCAGGTCTTAATTGGGGTATTTGTTCTCATTATTTTTTCTGTGTTTTAATAGAACCTACGGAGGAGAAAAAAAAATGTGTCTTCCTTATGTAGCAATGGCTTATGCTTATAATTCAATGTACATGTACATTGTACATAATACAAAGCACATGTAATTCAATGAATACTGAGCCGCCATTCTGATCCTAATCCCATGAAAAATTGCCCTTATTAATTATCACTCTTATTGAATATTTAATTAAAGCAAGAAACTTGGTTTCAAAGGCTACCTCATTCCTCTCTTTAGACTTCAACTGTTGTGCTGGTACATCCTCACCAGAACAACACAGGAAGGGCAGCACACAACTAATGTCTGGGGTTTTTTTTCCCCCTTTCAGGAACTGGCTGAAATGCAGGCCCAGATCTCTGATACATCTGTTGTCCTTCAAATGGACAACAATCGGAGCCTGAACTTGGACAGCATCATTGCTGAGGTCAAAGCTCAATATGAGGATATTGCTAATAAGAGCAGGATGGAGGCAGAAAGCTGGTACCAAAGCAAGGTGAGCAATGGCAGAAAAGATGGGTTTAAAAGGGAGCCCACTGCGTGATATCCAGTAGATTATTGATAACGGCTTAATGCTGTATTATAGTTTTCAAATACATTGCAGATGTTTAAGAAAGCCCCTTCTAGGTACTGACATTGTTGGATAGCTGCTGCAAATGAATCTCAAATTTATGATTAATATGGATACTTTTTCTTGCCTTCATAACATATTTGGAACTTCTATTGTCTCTCCGACATCGTTAATCTACTCCTTTGAGTAGAAGCTGTAATGATATCACCATCAGTTAGCCTTTTCCTTCGTTATGACTGTTCATTTTGCAATGCCCATTGGATGAATTTTTCAGGAAATTTCTCAAATAAGCAATAGACAAATGTATATGTAACATTGGAGATATGTGATAAGAGATTGATGTTGTTTGTGTCCTATCCCTTCTGAATTTTTCCTAGTTTTCCACAAACTGTCTTAATAGTCATTTATCCTCTTTCAGCTCACTCTCTCTCCTAACCTTCTCCCTCAATTCACACATGCATACCCCATTCACCTGAAGAAATTTACATGGGCATTTTATACTTGTCATTCTAGCCTCAGAAAGGGGTCAGTTGCTACTTGGAGCAAAGAAGATATTTCTTTTGTCTTTGCATAGAAAACAATTCTGAAACTTGAAAATTATGTATAGTTCCAGGATGTGATAGGGAACTGAGCCCAGGCAGGAGCCTAGAATGAGGAGGAGAAGACTAGCAACCTCCCTTTATATTTTCCACAGCATATTTTCTGAATCTTTTATTAATTTTAGTTTGAGGTCTTGCAAGCTACCGCTGGAAAACATGGAGAAGACCTGCGGAATACAAAGAATGAGATTGCAGAGATTAACCGCTTAATACTGAGGCTGCAAGCTGAGATTGAAAATACGAAAAACCAGGTGAGCAAGAAAAAGAAATACTAGCCTCTCTCACTACAAAAACTACACTGAGTACCAAGGAATAAGACTCGAGTGTAGTATAATGTCCATGCCCAGCCCCAACAACCCAACTTACCATCCCACTTACAATTTAAATCCTTGCAGGAAATAGACCACAGCTGGAACTATAATGTTGGATTTATGGTTTCTTTTTAAAGCCAGATGTATCTATCTTGTTACTATAAAGAACTGCAAGAAAAAGCAGGTTGAGATTCTATCGCAAACTTGGTTGGAGTCAAAGTTCTTTTGGTAAAAAGCAGGGATAATAGATTATGGAGAAATTGGAGCCCTTTGTAGCTGCTGAAATGTTTAAAAAAAAAAGGGGGGGGAGATCTGGCCACACATCTGTTTCCTTCATTTTGGCCCTCACCTACCTAAGTGTTGAATTCATGATGTTTCAAGCCATAATCGTTTTCTTTTTTTTCTGCTTGGGCAGCTTTGAATAAATAATATATAAGTTAAAAAAATATATCAACCCCCACCTGCTTATATAATTGTGCTACAGTTACCTGCAAGGATTGGATATTTCATGATAAATGAAGTAGACTGTTTGCACAAAAGTGAGAGTTAAGTTATTGTCTCTCCATACTGTGTGTTTGACTTCAGGGCAGGGAGACTTCAGCAAACATTCAAAGAGAAGCAATGCAAATACAGGGACCCAGGGGAATTCACTTCTAAATGATGAATGGGAGGTCTGAAGCCCAGATGCTTAGCATTACACCCTTCTTCTACACTCTTACAATAGAGGGAGTGGCGGACCTAAACATTCCCTGCATAGCAAATGGCTAGTAATTTTATCTCATATCAACAATGCAATAAATGATTGTGGCATGAATGGTGGGCAAAGGGCAGATGATTAGATTTCCCCTCCCTCCTTTTTCCTTTGAGATTGCTGTTTCCTGATCCTAGATGCATATGAAGGCATTTTACCTTTCACCTTATCAATGCCAGGGCAGATGACGATAGACTGCTTACCATGAAGATTTGCACAAGTCATTTTGGAAGCCCTCCTGTTCCCAGAAGCCCATTTTTGGGGGCATGGAGAGAAAAGTACCTCCCTGTGTCTTGTTCTCAGACTAAGGAACATGCTCCCTTGTGAACATGCATTTGACACGGATGTTGGATTAATATTCATTCTCATGTTGATTTTAAATGCTGCGGGTCGCATTTCTTGAACTCCTTTCTAAATTACTGTTCTCGAGGATTTTTATTTATTTTTTATTTATTTTATTGGATTTATATACCACCCTACTCCTGAAGGACTCAGGGTGGTGAACAGTCACAGAATAAAACACATAAATACAAAAATTTAAAATAGAATAAAAACGAATTAAATAATTTGGCTGAGACAATTTAAAATACCCAATAATTTAAAAACAAATTAAAATTTACATTTAAAAGGGGAGAAGATTTAGGCCAGGCCAGCTTGATGAAATAAGGAAGTCTTGAGCGTGCGACAGAAGGTGCGCAGATCTGGGATCCTCCGTATCTCTGGGGGGAGCTCCTTCCAGATTGTAGGTGCCCCCACAGAGAAGGCTCTCCCCCTAGGGGCCGCCAGTCGACATTGTTTGGCCGACGGCACCCGGAGGAGCCCCTCTCTATGGGAGCGTACTGGCCGGTGGGAGGCTATTGGTGGTAGCAGGCGGTCCCGTAGATAACCAGGTCCTAAGCCATGGAGCGCTCTAAAGGTGATAACCAAAACCTTGAAGCACACCCGGAAGACCACCAGGAGCCAGTGCAGCTCGCGCAGGAGAGGTGTTACATGGGAACCCCACGTCGCTCCCATAACCACCCGCGCGGCCGCACTCTGCGCCAGTTGGAGCCTCCGAGTGCACCTCAAGGGGAGCCCCATGTAGAGAGCGTTACAATAGTCCAGACGAGAGGTGACGAGGGCATGAGTGACTGCGTAGGATTGCCAAGCAAAAGCATTTATTGACTTACTGACTACAGGTGCCACGAATTGGGTCTGCTCTGGGAGGGGAGAAGAGACAGAAAAAGTTGCATATGGGCCCTTCTCCCTTAATATATCAAATTACAAGTACACTGCTAGTGATGTTTATGCATTGATTTAAATAGATCAGTTTATTTAAAAGCTTTTGCTTCCTCTACAAAGAGTTCTAGATGACTGAATCATGACTGCTAGCACAAGTTCCTCAACCCTGTTTTACAAAGTCAGATTATTGGCTCCTTTAGTGGAATCTATTTTTGCCCTGCCAGGGCCTTTCCTGATCTTCAATAAGTAGTTTCCCAAATGTTCCAACCTGAACTCTTTGTACTTGTTGAACTACTTTCAGTATACAATGCAGGCACTGTACTGCTGCTGACCAATGCTCTCCTCCCCTTTGTCCCTCTTTTTCTTCTTAAAGACACAGCACTGTTTGCTGGACTTTGACCTAGAGGGCAGTGTATCACTGTACAGAATCAGTTGAATGATTGCACTGACTTCTAAAGAGAAGTTAATGCCTTGCTGTTCTATGGGATGATTGTGATCTGCCGAGATAGAATCGATTGAAGCTCCCTTTACTTCCCAGCTGTTTTCCCCTTCTTTTTGCAGGAAAGTTTTTATTTTCTTGTGTGAGTACACTGAGAACTGAGATTCCTCACTAATAGTAGGAAGAGATATATAGTCCATTTGATGGCTTTAGCATACCATCACACCATTCTCAAGATATTATCTTTAGCTATTTTAAGACACCCTCCTGGTCATTTTAAAGAGTGCAATTGCAAACGAAGCAAGACAAGTGGACAGGAAGAGAGTGGCATATAAATAAAAATAATAAATAAGAAGAGACATATAAAAATAACCAATATGGAGTTTTCTGTCTTTTATTCACCAGAACTATTTGATGCAGGATGCTCATTCTTTTTTTGCCATGACTTTATAAAATAAAAATACAGGAAAAACAAAAGTTAGAGAACTAAAAGAAAGAGAGAAGTGCAAAGCGAGAAAAAAGTTGTGACTTTCAACTTTTTTCAGTAGTGCAAAATGCAAACAAAATACACAACATAAACGTTTCAAGCTATTTATAAAATTTTAAAAAATCATTCTAATCATCAAAACCTAAAATGAAAGTTTCATTTTTTTTCAGTTTCGAGCAAAAAGTTCAGAAATAGAGCAGTAACAAAGCAGAAACAATAGAAATGAAACTGACAAAGTTCTTCTCTTTAATTAAAACAGTCAGATTCACCATCCCTCTAACTCCATCACCTTTAACATCTACTCTTCCATTGCAGGAATTAGCGCGTCTTTCCATCTTTGCTGTTGTCAACATAGATAATAAAACTCCCATTGATCGTCTCGGAGCAAACCGGTTTGCTCTCAGCTGATCGTCGGTTCGCCCAAATTGGTCTGAACTGACTGAATCCCATCCCTGATAAGCAGAAGGAAAAGATGCAAACGGGGTTGAATATTGAATCTATAAAGAAGGCTTGAAACCCTCTACTTGCTGAGATGCTTTCTTTATGGCTAGTAACTTTACAATAAAAATTACTCACCACAAGTTCCTGGATTCTTGTAAACTGACCTAACAGGCTCAGTCTTGCCTTGGCAGCTGAAGCCAACTTTAGATTTTTTTTTTTTTTCTGGTCACAGTTAGGGATTGGTTCTGAATATATTTGCTGTAAAAAAAAAGTAGCAAAAGAAAAAAGAAAAAAAGAAAGGATGAATGGATGTCCCCATACAATACCCTTTGGAGCACTTTTCGTTTTCTCCTCCTCCATGGTGGATGAAATGAAAAGGCAGAACGTCTGAGTAATTCTGTCCTCTTGGTCTGTCTCTCTAGCGTGCCAAGCTGGAAGCCGCCATTGCTGAAGCAGAGGAACGTGGTACGCGGGCTGTCAAAGACGCCCAGGGGAAATTGGAGGAGCTGGAGCTGGCCCTCAATAAAGCTAAGCAAGAGATGGCCCACCAGCTGCGCGAATATCATGAGCTAATGAATACCAAGCTGGCTCTGGATATTGAAATTGCTACTTACAGAAAGCTACTGGAAGGGGAGGAGAGCAGGTATGTGGCTGGAAGTAATATTCTGATCATTGCACCAACTTTATTAGGGCTGCAGTGTTCAGTCAAGTGGGTTTTTTTAAAAAAAACCAATCAAGGTTTTATGTCCCTGTATGGATTATATATAAAATAATCATAGGCAAAGATCATTGCCTATGGAAGCGATTGCCTCTTCTAATAAGACTTCTGCTGTAGCACAAACATCTAAGGCCAAGAAGGCATTTAGTTTTTAAAAACGGTTGTTTTTTAAAATATTTGTTTGTTTATTTATAAAATATATTGACCACCCATCTTACCATAGGGTAATTCTAGGTAGCTTATGTATGTATGTGTATGTGTATATTTATTGTATGTATGCAAATCTTGGCGTATTCGGGTCTTTTCCCGTATAAGATTGAGAGTATCTTCGCGACGTTTCGACGAGGTCTCACTCGTCATCTTCAGGCTGGTGTCTTCGGCTTCATGCTTGTGCGAGCATGTATCTCTCTCTCTCTCTCTCTCTCTCTCTGTGTGTGTGTTTGTGTGTGTGTGTGTGTGTGTGTAGTGGGATTCAAAGCCCGTCGCTACCGGTTTGCTCATGTGTGCATGTGCGCTCTTGTACGATATTCTGCGCATGCCTCCCGCCTTTGCTGCTACTGGTTTGCCCGATTCGGGCGAACCAGTAGCAACCCACCACTGTGGTGTGTGTATGTTTGTGTGTGTGTGTGTGTGTGTGTGTATGTATAAATAGTCAGAGAATGGATCCCACTTGATAAAAAAGCATCCACAAAAGAGACCTAAAATGAAGATAGATCGATGACATCAGCAAGTGTTGCGGGCCCAATTGGCAAAAGAAAGCTCAAGACTGTATTGTTTGGAAACGTGCAGAAGAGCCCTTCATCCTGCAGGCAATGGCTAAAATGATGTTGATGATACATAAATAACTTAATACCAACTGCTAAAGTCCACTATGTATATGTATCCGCTTTGTACATTTAATCCAACGTTACCTTTCATTAACTGAAACTCCTATGGTGAAATGATTGAGATTAAGTGAATCATGAAGGAGACCTATGCTTTGTCCTTTAAGCTTATCCGACTCGTATTGTTGTCAATTAACAACAATAAAGGACTGGGTGGGGGAAGAGTAATCTTCTGGATCATTAATCCCATCCAACGTAGTATTTCTCATCTTCTTCCTAAGGCCAACAGCACACATTAATTAAAACCGGCAAGAGTCAGTTAGCTGTCTCTTCTGAATATTTTACATTAATAATGTTTTGTTTCCTTATTGCCAAGACTAAAATCTTTCAATTAGAAAAATGAACGTTTTTTTTTTTTAATTGCTTGTATGCTTATTTCTCACACAATAGGTTGTCTGGAGACGGAGCTGGTTCTGTAAGCATGAGTAAGTTTACTTCTTATTTCTTGACTTCTTTTTGGTATATATTAAACCCCAGGGACCACAGATAATGGAAATCATCCCTTAGGGCAGCAATTTTTAATTTTCTCCAAGATGAAAGTTTCCCCTAGGCTTCCTCACTTAGTGACTGCCTTGTATAATGACCAAAGTTCAGTGTTCAAAAATCCCCTTAGTGATCAGTCCTCACATTTATAAACTTTGCAGTGTCTTTCTGCATTTATTTTCACTTACTTAGCCGATGCCAAATTGTCCTCAAACAGAAGGTACCCCAGTTCAGCTGAAAGAAGTGGCAAGAAGCAAAAGAAAACAGAAAAATTATAAGCATAGTCATGGTCATGTCATTTTCACTTAGTGACAACCTTGCTTAATGACCATGTTATTGATCCCAATTGCAATTGCTAAACAAGGACTGGCTGTACTTATAGTTGTGTTCCCAAAAATAGGAGATTTTTTGGAACGCAAAATAGCTAGGAAAAACATTTAGACTTAATTAAAGTAAGTGTAGAGATAATTTATTTATCAAATTTATTTATTTATTTATTTGCCTCCTATCTCACCATGAGGTAATTAAGAAAAAGAAAATGAAAGCAGTTTGAACAGAATAGAAATAAAATAATAGAACAATATAGATAGAACTCAATTTACGGGCACAATTGAACTCCAAATTTATGTTGCTAAGCGACACATTCTCATTGTATTACTTTCTCATTGTTTATTTTATGGGTAGCAATCAATTTACAATCTCACTGTTAAGTGAGTTTTGCTCCATTTTACGACCTTTCTTGCCACAGTTGTTAAGTGAATCACTACAGTTGTTAAGTTAGTAACAGGGTTGTTAGGTGAATCAGGCTTCCCCATTGACTTTGCTTGTCAGAAGGTCGCAAAAGGGGATCACATGATCCTGGGACAGTGCAGCCGTCATAAATATGAGTCAGTTGCCAAGCATCTGAATTTTGATCACGTGAACATGGGGATACCGCAGTGGTCATAAGTGTGACAAATAGTCATAAGTCACTTTTTTTCAGTGACGTTGTAAGCTGAGTGCTACCTGTAAAATAAACAATGAGAAAGGAATACAACAAGGATACATCAATCCGATAACCAAAAAATGGATGGGTGGAGAGCATAGAGCAAGGAGGGAGGGGAGGTGGAGACTGCCATCAATCCAGCAGCCACTTCCAGTGTGGAAATCCCCCATTTGGCCCCCCAGGCCAACCGGTAGAACCAGGTCTTCAGGTTCTTGTGGAAGGATAGGAGGGTGGAGATTATATAATAGCTATGCATTTAATAATTTCATCTTCTATCATGTTAAATATCACATTTTGATAATTTGGAGCAATTTCTCAGGGCCATACTCAGCTGTATGTTCCTTCGCTTTAGAGCCATGATGGCGAACCTGTGGCACGCATGCCAGAGGTGGCACGCAGAGCCCTCTATGTGGGCATGCACGCCTTCGCCAGCTGCTCTTCTGGGTTCCGTTGCACGCATGCATACTGGCCAACTGCTCTCTTCCGGGTTCCGTCGCACACATGTGTGCCAGACAGCTGGTCTTCATATGAAATGGAAATTTTACAGTATCCTTCCCCTGCCATGCCCACCAAGCCATGCCACGCCCACCAAGCCACACCCACACCCAGTAGTAAAAATTTTTTGAAACCCACCACTGATTCAAGGATACAGAAATAAAGGCTAATATGCAAGATGTTAACTTCTATTTTGATAAGAGATATTCTCAGTCAGGAAGGGATTCAGAGACTGAATTTTGCCTTTCATATCAACAGCTTTCTTATGAAAGGTAGAGTGAAGAATACGTATTTATATTTTTTTATGTAGATCTACTATAAGTGTCCTGGATCCATAATAATAGTTGCATAAACTAAATAAGTGTAACGAATATGGTTAATTCTCATTGCCAGCCAATCTTGATAGATTGAAGAAATCGGCTGGAAGCTGCAGAATGAAATTTAATAAGAGTTATAAGCCCAGGACAGGATGTGAGAAACCTGGCTCAATATTAAAAATGTACTTGTAAAATATATTCAGAACGATGAGAGACGGAATCTGACACAGTAGTGTAAGGTCACTGCAAAGAAGCCATTTGTACATTTTAGTCATGTCAACAGAAGTAGAATTTCCAAATCGGGGAAAATAGTAGTTCTGCATTGGTCGGCCCGCCTTTGAATAATGTCCTGGGCACTACATTTTAATAAGGATTTAGCAAAGGTCAGTGAACACGATCAGGTGATGGAAAACTAAGTTGTATGGAGATATATTGAAGGAACCAAACCTTGAGAAGAGACAGCTGGGGATGGGATATGGTAGCCATTTGAAAATGTTTAAACCAATGAGAAGAAAGCCAAAGATTTCTTCCTCTTATTTCAGAACAGAGGACATCGAATAGTGAAAGTCAGTTACAGGGATGTGTATTCTGAATGAATATTGGCAGCAGCCATCTTTATAACCTGAGGAAATATCTATTAGATTATTTGTGGTTTTGAAACCAATGGTGAACCATCAGTTTCAATAAAGAAAAAAAGGGTTTCTTTGGTTGCCTTATCCTACCTCAGTCAAAGGAGACAGGATGGTCAATCAGAGATCCCGGAATCAATGTGGCTTCACCACACTGCCATGTTGCAAGTCAGCCTACTCTATATGAGATCTCTGAGGACAAGGGAAGCCAACTGAATGGGAGAGCAAGAGAGCCAAAATCACCTTTCATATAAATGAAATTATAAATTGTGGCCTCTGCTGAGCCATAGTTAATGTGTCCGCTCCCTTCAGGAATCAAAGCTTGCTGTTGTTGGCAGAATATTTGTTAGAATATTCCAAGGTATCTCACTGTTTCTGCTTTTTTTGTATACTGCAGCTCTGGTCAACTCCACTGGTGGTGGTAATACATACAGCAGCGGAAGTGGTCTTGGCTATGGTGGAGGATTTAATCTGGGAAGTGGAATGGGCACTGGAGCTCTTGGTTTTACCTCTGGAGGTGGCTCAAGTGGCCTGAAATCGACATATAGTGTGACAAGCACATCCAGGAGAAGCATCAGAAATTGAAATAAGCAAAGAAAGAATCATCACTGAATAAAAGAAACGTCCCTTCCTTTCCTTGCAACAGAGAAGAAAATATGGGCTTGGGGAAAGGGGTTGTTTTGTTTCAGCACCCCAAAATGGCCGCTGATGATGATACAAATCTCTAAATTCATGAGCTCCTCCCTACTTACTTTAAGCACCCTTAATTCTCTTCTTGTCCCCATTCAGACCAAGGAGAACTTCGTTGTTGACAACAGAGTAAACCTTGGTCAGAAAGTAACCACATGCTCTGGCTTTGATGTAAAAAATGTGCTGCATTTTCCTATCTGTTTTTTTGGGGGTGGTGAAGGAGTTAAAGTCATACAAATAAAGCTGAGGCTATCTTACTTTTCTCCTAAACGGTGTTCTTTCGTGATTCTTTTCATTTTTCTTCCATATACACTGGATAAAGAAGAATGGATATGATGCCACGTTTATCATCCACTTTTTTTAAAAAACAACAACTGATCAGCCCTTTGAATTCTTGCCTTATCCCAGCCAAGATAATTATTTAAGGCTGAAGTGGAGAGAAGGCAGGCAATCAAATAATTTATAAGATCCAGATGGTAGAGCTATATGCTGTCATTAAGAAAACTAGGAAAGGGTTGTTCTTCAGGAAGTTCACTTAAGTAGTAATTATGCATTGCTGCATAAATTGGGATTTTATGAAAACAGAAACTTTTCTATGCTTAGTAGCTACTAAAAAATCTTCAAAAATAGTTGTTTTGGTACCTTGACATGGATAAAGTCTTCCCATTTGGAGTTCAGCCACCTCTTTATTACATTCAGGCCCTTCCTGGGCTGTTAAAGCTGCTCAGGAAGTGACCCGTAGTTGGGTCTTTGTGATGGTATTAGCTTCCTTGAGAAAGGGGGTAGTTTCTCCTGCAATGAAAGAAGTGGTGATGTATCACCTCCTCAACAAGCCATTGCTGGACCCAACAATTCTGGACAGCTACGGTCTAGTCTCCTAAAAAAGTCTTAAATCCAATCAGTTAAGATAAGCAATCTTGGTGAAAAGATTGATGCATGCACATAGAATAGAATAGAATAGAATAGAATAGAATAGAATAGAATAGAATAGAATAGAATAGAATAGAATAGAATAGAATTCTTTATTAGCCAGGTGTGATTGGACACACAAGGAATTTGTCTTTGGTGCACATGCTCTCAGTGTACATAAAAAGACAAGATACACCCTTCAAGAATCATAAGGTACAATACGGGTGAAATCCAGCAGGTTCTGACAGGTTCTGGAGAACCGGTAGTGGAAATTTTGAGTAGTTCAGAGAACCGGTAGAGAAAATTTTGAATAGTTTGGAAAACCGGCAAATACCACCTCTGGCTGGCCCCAGAGTGGGGTGGGTATGGAGATTTTGCAATATCCTTCCCCTGGAGTGGGGTGGGAATGGAGATTTTGCAATATCCTTCCCCTGCCACACCCACCAAGCCACACCACACCCACCAAACCATGCCCACAGAACCGGTAGTAATTTGAATTTCACCACTGGTACAACACTTAATGATAGTCATAGTGTGCAAGTAAGCAATCAGGAAACACATATACATGTACACCAAACATATTCACACAGAGAGACATACTGTACTTAAAGGCACTTGCAAGTTTTTCTAACAGTGAGAGACAAGAAAGTTTGAGTAAAGAAGAGTCCCAAGACATAGCAGTGAATGCAGGAATTAGAAGAAAACTGCTTGAGATTGAGTGGCCAGAGCTATATTGAATGACTTAGTCTGTTCTGTATTATAATTGTATCAAAACCCACTTTTACATATTATTTAGCAATGGATGATGTTTCCAAGCTTTTTGAGAGAAAAGCAAACACCATCTCTTTTTGAAGGAAAATCAGTTAATCAGTAAAATGTATCATTGTCCCACTGTGAATTTTTAGCTATCGTCTGCTAATAAAATTTTACTGTTAGGATGGGAGAGAAATTAGGATTTCTCTACATGAACTGGGCATGGCTAGTCTAGTAAAGAGAAGGACCAGGGGAACATGATAGCAGTGTTCCAATATTTGAGGGGCTGCCACAGAGAGGAGGGGGTCAAGCTGTTTTCCAAAGCACCTAAAGGCCAGACAAGGAATAATGGATGGAAACTGAACAAGGAGAGATTCAACCTGGAAATAAGGAGAAATTTTCTGACAGTGAGAGCAATCAACCAATGGAACAGCTTGCCTTCAGAAGTTGTGGGAGCTTCATCACTTAAGATTTTCAAGAAAAGATTGGACTGCCATTTGTCAGAAATGATATAGGGTCTCCTTCTTGAGTGAGGGGTTGGACTAGATGACCTATAAGGTCCCTTCCAACTCTGTTAATTTGTTATCTGTTAAATCAAAATTGTCACATTATTTATGGGAGCTACTTAAATACCATTGACGCCATTGAATTTAATCACATACTCATGGCTCTTTCCCTTCCTCTTGCTCATCCTCACAACAGTCCCATGAAGTAGGTTAATAGAAAAGCAAGGGAGGCAATACGGTGCTGCATGTTGCCAGGGTATCTGCAGGATCTCCAAATACCATATGTAGACCCATACAATTAAAAGATAATAATAAAACGGCCAAAAAGCTTGCAAAATTACCACATCTCACATGGGATCTCAGAAGAACCTGCACGTAATTTCTAATATGAGATTTAGTGGTCTTGTCAGATTTAGGTCATTTTATCTTTTTTTAAATTATTTTAATGCCTCAACATTATTATTACATTTCCTGCACCATAAACAAACTTCAAACATTCTTTAAATATAGAGGGTGAATTTCAGGGGTGGTATGCACTTACCTTCGCTATCAGTACGCAAATGTGAGCACACGCATGCGCAGAGCGTCAAAAACGGGACGTAATGACGACCAGGCAGGTGGGTGGAGCCTCCTGCAGCCGCTGCTACCGGTTCGCCTGAACCGGATAGAACCTGCTGAATACCACCACTGGTATTCAGTGTATAATTGGTACACACACCAATTATAGTTTTACCACAACTACTGGAGAGAAAAGTGTGCACACCCAATATCTTTCAAGGATGACCACAGAAGGTGCTTCACCTGCCTTATACTAGAGCTGACATTTCACATGAATTATATCTGATTTTGTTACAACCAACCAGTGTTAATGCTAACACATTTCCTATTATTTATTAATTTGGTATGGTGCCCAATCCATTTCAGCTCAGTGCAGCTTGCAAGAACAATTAAAGTCTATGGAATACATAACAACATAAAGCAATATAATTGCAATGGTAAAAATACTTCTTCTTATTCTTTACTTCCTCTTTTACTGCTTCGGGTGTCAAGGGAAATACAAATACATTATATAACAGGGGTCGCAAACCCCCGGTCCGTGGATCAGCACCGGGCCATGGCATTCCCTGGTGCCCAAAAGGTTGAGGGCCGCTGGTATGTAAGATACTTCTATATCTACTATACTGTAACATTTATGGTATATTTAATACTAAAACATCCATAGTAAGCAATTTAGCACTTTAACAAAATAACACTTTTAAAAATGTGTATTAAAAAGTTTTGAAAAATCTAACACTGTAATTGAAATTAGTAGTGTCGTTACAAATAAATTATTAAGTGTAATTATTATTGCTCCTCCACGCATCTCACACCTACACAATCATACCCACACCTACAGAGCCATACCCATACCTACACAGCTATATACATACCACCACTCATCTCCTTCCACTTATGACTGTATGACTGTAATTTTGTTGCTTGTATCCTTACGATTTATATTCATATTGTTTTCTGATTGCTTATTTGTACCCTATGACTATCATTAAGTGTTGTACCTTATGATTCTTGATGAACGTATCTTTTTTTTAATGTACATTGAGAGCATATGCACCAAGACAAATTCCCTGTGTGTCCAATCACACTTGGCCAATAAAAATTCTATTCTATTCTATTCTATACACCCAAACACACATACTACTTCTCCTGGTTACTCTGCAAACAGAGATATTATTGAAATCGGTGGAGATTATTTAATGGGATTTGGCAACAAGATATAACTTAGGTGTGTTAAGATCCTAAAATGCTGGAGCAGACCAACTTTTCCACATTAATCCAGCAGAGGTTCCCTGGAGACCCACTGACAGGATGTACAAGATTCAAGAGAAATTCAAGAGTAATTATATCCATAGACAGTAACAGTCATTGATTATAATAGGCATGTCCTGAATGGGTGTGTCTAGACCAGGGGTCAGCAACCTGCGGCTCTGGAGTCGCATGTGGCTCTTTCACCCCTCTGCTGCGACTCCTTTCACTCAAAATATGCATCACAACCGCCAATGTGCGACACCCACCGGCACACAATTTATTGAGCTTTTCAACCCCGGTAGGCCAACCATGGATAAATCCAAGAAAAGAAAAGTTTCAGAAGAAAACAAAATGTTTAATTCAACTACCATATGCTAGTTTTGTGGCTGCTCAAGAAATAGTCAGGCACGGGAAGGGTTTTGTGGCTCCCGGTGTTTTCTTTTCTGTGGGAAATGGGTCCAAATGGCTCTTTGAGTGTTTAAGGTTGCAGACCCCTGGTCTAGATCATATAAAAGCCACCTAAAGTGGGAGCCTTTGTTACATCTTCTGGCAGCTGTATTCTTTAATAACTATGTACTGTAAAGAAGGATTTTCTTTTATTAATCCTGGATCTTCCCGCATTTATTTCAGTGTTTGATCTTGCATTCCGACATCATGAGCAAAGGAGAAAGACTTTCCTGGCTCCCAGCTTCCATGCTGTGTATCTTTTCATCTATCTATGTCACATCCACCTTACCCTGCTTCTTTGTACGCCAAACAATGTCTTCAATGCTACAGTTTGTCTGTGGGTTGAGGTGAGAAAGCTGTTGTAAACTTTGTATTTTTCTTTATTTTCCCCGTAGGATTGGAAATAAGCTCAGTTTTTAGAAATAAATCTTAATGTTTGAGATTATTGAGTGAGATTAAGGATGTAGGGCGTTGTGTCTCTCCTTGTCCTAGGAAGACTAATGAACAGGACATCCACAAGGGACAGTAAATTCCACTAGAGTTAAGAGCTGTAGACTTTAAAGAAGAAACTGGTGAAGAATTTCTCCTAATCAGGTGGAAATAGCAGCTACAAAATGGCACCGTCTCAGGAGTGATGAAATCCAAATATTTTTACTACCAGTTCTGTGGGCATGGCTTGATGGGTGTGGTGTTGCTTGGTGAGCGTGGCAGGGGAAGGATATTGCAAAATCTCCATTCCCACCCCATTCCTGGGAGAAGGATACTGCAAAATCCCCATTCCCACCCCACTCCTGGGGGAAGGATATTGCAAAATCCCCATTCCCTCCCCACTCCTGGGGGAAGGATATT